CTACACGTTCGCTCCATAGTTGTCTGGTGCATTTAGCAGAGCCCATAGCACCAGATGGTCCACGCGTTGTTATGATACGTGCCAACCAATTTGACATGCAGATACACAGTATTATGGATGTGTTCAGAGTTGGTTCAATGTATACGGATTTCTTACTCTATGAAGATGACAATGCAATTGTGTCTGGTTATGTGCTTATAATGGACTTGGGTGATCTAAAGAAAGATGTCGTATTAAGTTTTCAACCAAGTTTTGCAAGAGATTTGGTAATTCTAGCTAACAAATGTTCACCATCACGCATGAGAGGCTTTCATTTTTTAAAGGTGCCAACGATTTTTGAAACTTGCTTCAACATGGTGAAGTCAGTGATTAGTGCGAAGCTGAGAGAACGGGTATGCCAATGCAGTTCATTAAAAAAAAAAAAATATTAAAACAAATTGCATTAATATATTTAATATCATTTTGTTTTTCTTTTTTTTTTTTTCTTGCATGTGCAGTTTTACGTGCATGGTCGTAATTACGAAAATTTATATGAACACGTTCCGAAACACATATTACCAAAAGAGTATGGAGGTGAGTGTGATATGCAGAGCTTGCAAGAGAAGACTTGGCAAAGATTACTCGAGATGCAAGAATTTATAAAAGAGGAAGATAATTTTGGTATCGTGAAAGGAGTGAAAAAATGTAGCAGTGATATTATGAAATCCGAGATGTTGGGATTACAAGGATCGTTTCGGCAGCTCAATGTAGATTAGTGAAAAAATAGTAATAGTTAGATTTGTGTATATGCACTTAAGTAGGACTAAATTAATTAATTTTAAAAGTAGTAATATTTTTAAAAAGGATAATTAAGCACAAAAAATTTTTCCAGCACATAAAACATATACTCACAATTTATATTTAATTTTAGTTTTCATACTGATGTGCTTACTGATTAATTGGAATCGTGCCTATCTAAAATACCAAAAATTTATAGATTAATTTTTTATTCAGTTTGTAAGCCAAACGAAAAAGTTCAAATAAAATTCTTTGATGTTTTTTTTAAGAAGTTTAAAATTGTTTGAGAATGATTGCTTTCTCTCTTAAATAAAATTATAAAATTGTTATTATTATTATTATAAATCGTTATTAATATAAAGAAATTCATACAGCACTTAGAAAAAATTATAGAATTTTACTTAAAATCTAAATTGACAATAACATATTTGTTGTATGTCTGATTGGCATTATAAGATTATGGGCTTATAATATAAAATAAGCCTGACAACGATGAAAACTTTTTTCTAAAGACTTTAGTATTGATTGTGGTCCAAAATAAGGAAGTTTTAAAACATATGTTAATAGTAGTATTCACGCTTTTGAGTAATGACCAAATAATTAGCAGTGCAAAACGGCTAGAACAAAATAACTTTTTTCTAAACAGTTTAATATTAATTATGGTCCAAAATAGAGAACTTTAAAAACATAATAGTGGTATTCACAATTTCGAGTAATGACATGAGTAACCAATTAATACATTAGCAGTGTGTGCAGAACAGCAAGAACAAAATAATTTTTCTCTAAAAAATAGAGTATTAATTGTGGTCCGAAATAAAGAAGTTTAAGAACATATAGTGGTATTCACGATTTTGCGTAATGGCCTAGGTTACAGAGTAATACATTAGCAGTGCAGAACGGCAAGAACAAAATTAATTTACTCAGATCTTCTTCTACCGATGTACTATTGGTACACTATTGTCGAACTTCATACTTGAGATTGTAAATTCTGGCAATATTTTTATTGATGTTAGCAGAATGCAGCACTGAAGTAATGAAGACGTTTAAATTTCAGATATATATTTCCTACTAAAAAATTGCACAATAAATCTATTCAGATGGCTATACTTTCTGGCTGCGAAGAAAGAGATGAGACATAAAGATTAAAAAATTGTAATAAAATATTAAATGCAAAAATGTGTTTATATTTGTGATATTAAGAACAACAGCTCAAAAAATAAAAAGATAGTAACAGTTCGATTAAAAAACACTTATTTAGTATGTTAATTATTAAGTCAAATTCAATATAATATTTAAAATAGATTACTATTTGTTATAATTAAAACTTTTACAATATTAGCATATCAATTTCAAAAAAAAAAAATTTCCCCAAACGATAGTTTATATGTTTTTATAAATAAAATCTTAATAAAAAAATAAAGTGCTTTAATGCAGCTTTATTTTCTTATATTAATCTACATTAATAAAGATTAATATAAATAAGAAATAATAAAAGAAGACACACATAGTTACCATATGAAATCTTTAGTTTGTTATACTCTAGAAATAATCTCTTAAACTCTTACAAATAAAAATAAATAATAAAAATTTTATTAACTGAACAATACAATTATAATAATAAATTTAATTAAATTATTTTAATAATTTCATACTTTAAATAATAAATTAAATTACATTCATTATTTTCATTTCATTAAAAACGATCACCTAAAAACTTATGTTAAATTTAAATACTATTTATCGACTGTAGAAGAAAAAGGAAGAGTTCGACACTCTATTACACGAAAACATAAAGATCCCATTAGAAATTTATTCAGGATAGTCGTAACAGTGTCCATACCCGGACAGTGTCCATACTCGATGCAGGAATCATGATTTAACTAAAAAACATGATTTATACTAGACAAAAAAAATTGATGCGAGTTTGAAATGAGTTCTGATTATCAGCAATCAGACCAAATCAGCGATGGTGTAATTTTTCTAAAACGCACCTAACCATAATGCCTAATAAAAATCTGATTTTTAATATAATTATCCGGAGAGGTTTAAGTTTGTATTGATATCAAATTTCTAGTCGATGAAGTTTTAATTGTCCAAAAAATATTCTTCTATATTGCAATTTTTATTCTCAGTTTTGATAAAAATAAGGTCAATAGTTTGCAAAATTTCCCTGAAAAAGTTTCATATATAAGCAATCCATAAGCTAACGGATCAAAATGAAATTTGAAGTTATTTTTAGCCCATCAATGTACGTTTGTTAAATGATTGTTCAGTTCCACTAAGTACACTTCTTTACTAGTGAATAGCATTGTTTCTCTCAATATCGTTCTTTAAAGCTTACATATTTAAGAATCATTTTACATATCATCATAATGTGTATGTAGTACATTAGCTAATCAGTCCTAATACCTCTTCATTACTTAAAATGTTTCTTAGACATCTATTGATAAGAACTTGAAACCAGATTGATAAGAGCCAGTTAAAGATCCTATATAATTAGAGAATGAGTTTTTCTTCGCTAAAGATGAAAACGCAAGACAGCCGGCTGAAAATGAGAATAGTGTTTATGGTCCTGACACTATCAACTGTAACAGCCAATAATGCGTAAATTTAGTTACATCAATTCCGTTCCCGTAATTTCGATGTCGAAGATGAACCACGCAGTGGAAGGCCATTTGTCGAAACCTGATGTTGTCATGTAACTACTATTTTGAATGCCCAAGAGCTAAAGTTTGCACAAAAAGCTTTTGCACGTTTGGAACCCTTTGAATAAGGCTGGATACGAAACGAAGCTCGATGTAAGGGTGCCCGAAAACGGTCGTGATTGAATCGCGATGAAAGGCTGAAGAAGCCGGGATTGACGTCCTGAAAGGGTTTGCTGTGTGTATGGTAGTATTGACAGAGAATCATCTACTATAAAATGCTCATATACCGCAAAACTCTTAACTCGGAACTGTAATGTTATTAATTTTATCATTTGAAGGGAGTCATCGCCCAGAAACGGTCAGATTTGAGCAATAGGAGAGGAATTTTTTTCCATCAGGTCATACACATCGACATTGACTCGTCGAAAACTTCAAGAGTTTTATTAGGAAGTTCTTACGCATCCACCTTACAGTCCAGACCTGGCACCAAGTAAGTACCATCTGTTCCTGTTTATGGTAAACGATTTTTCTGGTGAAAAAAATTTAGCCCCAAGAAAGGCTTTTAATAATCGACTCTCAATTTTTTGCCAATAGGGACGAGGACTTCTATAAGAGAGACATAAGGAAATTATATTTACAATAGCAACAATTAACGAACAAAATGGTGGTGATGGAGACATAAGGAAATTATATTTACAATAGCAACAATTAACGAACAAAATGGTGGTGATGGAGACATAAGGAAATTATATTTACAATAGCAACAAGTTATCGAACAAAATGGTGCATTTTTGACCTAAATCAGTTTTATAAAAAATAATGGATTTTATTTTACTACACCTATTATATCATTTTTTTAAGAACATACATATGTTCATAATATATACCCAAAGCATTTATATATTTATATATTAATATAAACAATATCAAAACTAATAATAATAAATCACTCTGGAACAACCTTTTTTTTGTCTACATGAAAAGCTTTGTAGGTTTTTTTACAATTTTTGAATTAATATTATTATTGTTGAATAAATTAGTATCATATATAATCTTCAGACAACATGAATAACAATGGATTATAATTTAAATTTGTTAGATTATACTAAAATCGACACGTTAGAACAAAACAACACGTCAAGCATGTAGTCATTCAAATGACTACTAATAATTTTAGCATATAAAACAATTAAGGACTGCCAAACAACTTATTGACAACACAGATATAGATAAAACTTATCAGCTTTCGTGCAGACAGACAGACAGGAGTTGTCTTCAATTAAGTGCCTGTCTAGCACTTCTAACTTTTGTAACTGTTCGAAAATGTTAGCAGATTACAATTTATTTACTTGCTACCTTTTGTCGGGAAAGCTATTAACGGAAGAAATAGGTTAAATTAAAAAAATATTTTATATTAAAGTAAAATATCCATGGCAGTTAAAATTTCAAGCCTAAATTTTTTTATAAAAATACTATTGTAACTAACTGAGCTCGTAAAACGCATACTAGTCGTCACGTCATAGTAAAATATAAAGTTTCTAAAACAATAAATCTCTTTTAAAATTCGACACAATACATATGTCGGCCGATAATAATGTAAGTAACAATTTACAGCTAACACTTAATATTGTAATTAAGTAATTAATTAAGTAAATAAGATTATAACATCTTTCATTAACTTGTTGAATTATTAAAGTTTGATTTTAGCCAATGGGACTTTCCAGTAGATCGTATATGGATACGTAAACCTAACTGGGAGATGGCAGTCAAAATAGGTACTTTTGTGCCGGTCATTATATTTGGAATTTGTGGCAATTATATAATTATACGTTTGATTATATTAAATCGATCCCTACGCACACCTACAAATCTAATTATAGCAAATATGGCAGTTGCTGACTTCTTGACATTGTTTATATGCCCTGCACTGTTTATGGTAAATGATTTCTATCAAAATTATCAACTAGGTTGTGTGGGCTGTAAGCTAGAAGGTTTTTTAGTAGGTGTTTTTCTAATCACGGCAGTCTTAAATTTATCAGTCGTCAGTTATGATCGTCTGACAGCAATTGTCTTGCCAACAGAAACTCGTTTATCAATACTTGGTGTAAAAATTGTTATACCTTTAACATGGATAGTAGGTATTGCAGTCGCATCACCATTGGCTATATATCGTGGTTATAGAGTAAGTTTAAAATGAAATTTAAAATTTTTTTTAATAAAAATTTTATTTGATCATTTGTAAGGTGCGCCAATGGAAAAATTTTAAAGAGACCTATTGCAAAGAAAATACAACAATTTTACCTAAATATTGGTACTTTCTGATAACAGTAATGGTATGGTTTCCTCTCATGGTAATGGTAATTTGCTATACAGCTATTTTTATTAAGGTAAGTTAATTTATGTTAAATGGTGGTATTTACAATTTCGAATAACTAGCTCGCTACCCCTGCAATATAGAAATATTACAAAGAGGTAATAACGAAATACATACGCATACTCGAAATATGTCTTGTTGTTACTCTATATATATATATAAAATATTATATATATAAATATTATATA